TGCCCCTCTGCTTCACAAGCATGATGTCCTGTGCCAGTGATTGGTCATATCCAAAGTTTGTAAGATGAAGCCTTGCCCTCCTTGCCTCTAAGGAGCACTCTGACTGTATTTCTTCCATGGCTTGATTTGTCCTTTTAGTAATCCATGATACTTTCAATATTCTTCTCCAGCACCATAATTCAAATGTAATTCTTCTTTGGTCTTCCTTATTCAATATCTGACTTTCACATATAAAGGAAACAATTGAAAATACCATGGCTCGGGTCAGGTGAACTTTATTCCTCAAAGTAACATCCTTGTTTTTCAATACTCTAAAGAGGTCTTACACAGCAGATTTAACTAATGCTGCATATCTTTTGATCTCTTGACTGCTGCTTCCATGAGCATTGATTGTGGATTCAAGCAAGGCAAAAATCTTTGGACAACTTCGACTTTTCTCCGTTTCTCATGATGTTACCTATTGGTCTAGTTTTGAGGATTTTGGTCTTCTTTACATGGAATCATTAAAAATACTGAAGGCTGCAATCCTTGATCTTCATCAGCAAGTGTTTCAAGCCTTCCTCCAATCTGAATGCACATTCTTCTACATAGAATCCAACTTCTCCAATCATCTTTTTAGCATATATATTGAATAAATGTGATGAGAGAATATAATCCTGATGTACACCTTTCCTGATTTTAAACCATACAGTATCCCTTTGTTCTGTTCACACAACTGCCTCTTGAGCCATGTATAAGTTCTGCGTGAAATCCATCAATGAAGTGTTCTGAATTCCATTATTTTCAAGACTATTCATAGTTTATTATAGTCTACACAGTCAAATACCTTTCCATAGTCAATAAAACACAAATATCTTTCTGGTATTCTCTGCTTTGAGCCAAGATCCAGCTGATATGATGGATTAGCAAGGATATCCTTTGTTCCATGCCCCCTTCTAAATCTGACCTGAACTTTTGGCAGCTCCCTGTCAATGTACTGCTCTTAACTGTTGTTGGATGGTCTTTTTATAGATTTATTTATTTATTTATTCATAATCATTTTATTGTGGTTTGTACAGTGTGGATGTATCACAATCCATACATACATGTCAAGCACATTTGTATATGTTGCCACCATCATTTTCAAAACAGTTTCTTTCTACTTGAGCCCTTGGTATCAGCTCCTCATTTCCCTCCCTCCATCCCTCTCTCCCTCATGAACCCTTGATAATTTATAAATTATTATATTTTCATGTCTTACACTGACTGAAGTTTCCCCTCACCCACTTTTATGTTGTCACCCCTCATCTTCCCGTTACCCTCCTGGTATTGCTTCTCTCATTGGTCGTCAGGGTTTGTCTGTCCTGGATTCCCTGTTTCCAGCTCTTATCTATACCAGTGTACATGTTCTGGTCTAGCCACATTTGGAAAGTAGAATTGGGGTCATGATAGTGGAGGGTGGGGTGGTGGAGGAGGAAGCATTGAAGAACTAGAGAAAAGTTAAATATTTCATTGATGTTATACTGCACCCTGACTGGCTTGTCTCCTCCTTGTGACCCTTCCATTGTTTACAGATGGACTATGAGTATCCACACCGCACTTTGATAAGGTTTTTGTTCTGGGTTTTAGATGCCTGATACCTGATCTTATTGACACCTAGTGATCACACAGGCTGGTGTGCTTCTCCCTTGTGGGCTTTTTTGCTTCTCAGCTAGATGGCTGCTTGTTTATCTTCAAGCCTTTAAGACCCCAGATGCAATATATTTTGATAGTCAGGTACCATCATCTTTCTTCACCACATTTGCTTATGCTTATGCATCCATTTGTCTTCATTGATCATGTTGGGAAGGTGAGCATCACAGAATGCCAGGTATTTAGAACAAAGTGTTCTTGCATTGAGGGCATACTTGAGTGGAGGCTTAATGTGTTGGATGGTCTTAAGCAAAATTTTACTTGTGTGTGATATCAATGATATCCTGCTATAGTTTGAGCATTCTGTTGGGTTACCTTTTGTTGAAATGGGCACAAATATGGATCTATTCCAGTTAGTTTGCCAAGTAGCTATCTTCCAAATTTCCTGTCATAGACTAGTGAGTGCTTCCAGTGCTTCTTCAGCTTGTTGAAATGCTTCAATTGGTATTCCATCAATTCTTTTAGCCTTGTTTTCTAACTAATACCTCAGTGCAGTTTGAACTTCTGCCTTAGGCACCATTGGTCCTTGTTCATATGCTCTCTCCAGAAATGGTTGAATGTCAACCAGTTCTTTTTAGTACATTGAGTCTGTGTATTCTTTTCATCTTCTCTTGATGCTTCCTGCATCATTCACTATTTTGCTTATAGAATCTTAAAAGATTGCAACTCTAGGCTTGCATTTTTTTTCATGAGTTCTTTCAGTTTAAGATAGTCTGACTGAGTTCTTCCCTTTTGTTTTTCTAATTTTGACTTTACACATTTTATTAAAATGTTTGGCTTTGTCTTCTCAATCTAACATTTGAAATTTTCTATTCAGCTTTGATTTCATCCGTTCTTCAATTTGCATTAGATACTCTATGATTAAAAGCAAGTTTCAGAATCTCTTCTGACATCTACTTTGATCTTTTTTTCTTCCTATCTTTACAGTGACCTTTGCTTTCTTTATGAATGATGTTCTTGATGTCCTCCCACAGCTCATCAGGTCTTCTGTCATTAGTGTTCGATATGTCAAACATATTCTTGAGATGCTCTCAAAATTGAGGTGGAATAGGCCGTATTTTGACTCTGTTGGACTTGTTTTAATTTTCTTTAACTTTATCCTGAATTTACATAAGAACCATTGGTTTTCTGCTCTGTAGCCAGTCTATTCTCGTTTTAGCTGCTGATATTGAGCTTCTCCATCTTCTCTTCCTACAGATGTAGTCAGTTTTATTTCTATATATTCAATCTGGATAAGTCCATGTGTATAGTCACATATAGTTTCTGCATAGGCATGTGAAAGTTGAACATTGAATAAGGAAGATTGAGGAAGAAACAATGCATATCAACTGCAGAGCTGGAGAAGAATAGTGAAAGTACCATGTATTGATTAAAGGACAGACAGATCTGTCTTGGAAGAAGTGCAGCCAGTGTGCTCCCTAGAAGCAAGGTCTGGCAGACTTACAACTTTGGACATGTTGTCAAGATAGACCATTCTCTAGTGATGGATGACATGCTTGTTAAAAGAGAGGAGTGCCCTGGATGAACTGGATTGACACTGTGGCTGCACAATGGACTCACTCAAAGAACAGTTGTTTTACCAGCTTGCCCTCCTGGGTTTTCCAATTAATTTCCTTCCAACCATGTGCCGGAGTGATCTTTCTGAAGGATAAATTGAATTACTTTGTGCTCTTTAAAACATACTTTTATTGCAATACCCCTGTGTGTTTGTAAGGTGGAGAATCTTTATGGGAGCAGAAACCTACATCATTTTTGTGTGGAGTAGCTGGTGAGCTTGAACCACTGACCTTGTGTTAGTTGCCCAACACGAAAACCACTACACTATCAGGGCTGCTATATATGTAATATACAGGTATATAATAAGTGAAATGAATGCATGAAATTCTAACTACTTCTCAGGGTTAACAAAATATGGTATTCGGTTCTCCATTCTCATCTTTACAATCTCATGTTGTTTCTTACTTTCCATGCTTTAGCCTTAGATACCTCCTTAATTCTTCTGATAGGCTCAGGCTCTTTATGTCTTTATCTGACTGATACTGTCCCACTGCCTGGGATGTGTTAATTCCAGTTCTTCACATATGTAGCACTCTTTCATGTTTTTAGTCTCAGTTTAAGTGCTATCTTTTCTATATCACGTATCAGGCCTCTATATCTAATTTAGCTCCTATCCCGGAGTCTTCCATTATAGCACCATTAGTGGATGTAGCATTTTGGTTACTTTTATCATTGTATCTACAATGTGGCATAACCCAAAACCAAACTGACTGCCATTGAGGCAATTCTAACTCATATATCTATCGTGTTGGGCAGGGTAGAACTACCCCTGTGTGTTTCAAAGGCTGGGAATCTTTTCGGGAAGCAGAAACCCACTTCCTTTTCTTGTTGAGTGGTTGGTGAGTTTGAATCACTGACCTTGTCATTCTCAGCCCAACACATAAACCAGTACACCATCAGGATTGCTGTATATATAGTTTACAGGTATATCTAATACATATTATTTAACATATACATTAAGAATCATATAAATATTCATGTAAGGAATTCATTAAAGAATAATTTGAAAGGTAGTCATTTTGTTTAATTGTAGTGAAAAAATTATTTAAAGGGTAAGTCTCTGTATTGTGGCATTGCATAAGGAATGACTTAATCACATGTTAAGACTAAGCCTTTTGCCGGGAAAACAAATAATCCACCAATTAAAATAATATGGTAAACATAACTATCATGTATTTGTGGGGTTTTTTGCTTGTATATTAATGCTATAGAAGTGATAGAGTTAAATTTCAAAAGGCACTTAACATTTTTAGAAATAATCTTTTAGGATTTCAGGAACTTCTGCTAGATTGTAAATTTATCATTAAATGTCTAATTGTGATTTTTAAACCATGGCTCACAAACTATTAGTGACTTGTAATGTTATTGAGTGAGTTATAGCTAGCATTTAAAAAAGAAATGCAGTAATGAAGAAGTCAGGATGTATTGGAGATAGGATTATGAAGAGCAAAGTCAGGATTTTAGGAAGACTTTTTTTCTAGTTAAAACAGTTTAATAGGAACGTCTCAGACAAGCAGAAATAGCTTTGCTTTGGAAGATTCTAGCAACAGACAGTCGGGAGGGGCTCCACGGGGCTGGAAAGGGACCCAGCGGTCCCCAAGAGACTGCAGTAAAAAGGCAGCTGTGTACACACCCTGCCCTCCTTCCGAGCCCAGGCCACTTCTGGACATGGGTGACATGCCAGCTTCCCACCCAGGCCAGAGGCTACTCTATTTACATTTAAAATCCGCTCTCTTCTTGGTGACGCGCCCAAGCCCAGTCTGAGGCCATCCCTAACTCAGGTGGAGGACCACTTTGTTGATCTCAGGGTTTGTCCAACCATTCCGGATGTCATCCAGGTGGTTGTTGAAGTCCACGAGGGTCTCGTAGGAGCTGCTGTCCAGCAGTGAGGCCGAGATCCTCTGGGCTGCAGGCCAGTCTTCACAGTAATCGTAGTGAGGGTCTCTGCACCGCCACTTGTTCTCGTGGTGCTCGTACACGTGGGTCGTGGGCACCAGGCAGTCCACGGTAAACTTCGTGTTGTCGACCATGACGAGAGCCATGTCACTGAAGCCCTCGGCTATCCTGGAAGCCACCTTCTCAGCTAGCTGGTTGGGACTAGCATCCTTCACCCGCTCATTGGCTTGATAATAACCGGCAATCACACAGCTGTTGTCTTTGCACCAGGAATCAATCAGCGTGAGGGCCACCTCCAGCATGGGGGCAAGGGCCAGGGTGCTGTGGAAGAGGGGGACACAGCTGACGAAGAGGATGTGGTGGGTGCCGGCACCGCCCAGGGGCAGGTGCTTCTTGCGCAGCTTCTGCCTCTCGGCCACCAGCAACCCGTTGACGGCACAGTGGGGCTACTTGGCGCTGTGCAGCACCATCTTGCAGTAGGCCTGGATGGTCAGCTTCACGCAGGGCGGGCATGCTGAGCCCGGGCGGCCCCGGGAGGCCTGGACCCACGGCCGGCGCCTCAGCGGACCAGCAGGGCGAGCTATGGCTGCGGCTCCCCGGAAGGCAGGCGGAGACCCCGACCCAGGGGCCCCGCTCAGGCTCCGCGGAGAGTGGTCCCAGATTTGGGAAACCGAGGTGCTGCGCCTCAGACAGCTAGCTCGCGGTGGCAGCCAGAAAGTGGTCTCCCGAGCACCTGGAAAGACTTAACAACCTGTGATATCCAGATGACACAACCTGTCTTACTGAAAGCCAGAGGACTTTAAGCATTTATTGATGAAAATGAAAAACTTTAGCCTTCAGTGTGGATTATACTTCAACATTAAAATTAAAATGCTCATAACTGAATCAACAATACACAGCATCATTATAAAGAAAAGGTTGAAGTTATCAAAGTTTTCATTTTACTTGGATCCACACCACAGTCAGCTTCACGGAAGTAGCAGTCACAAAATCAAAAATGTATTGCAATTGGCAAATCTACCACACAAGACCTTTTTTAAGAGTTAAAAAGCAAAGCAGTCACTTTTAAGGAGTACAGTGCTCCTGAACCCAAGTAGTAGTAGTTTCCATTATCTTATAAGCACTTGAAAGCTAGACAACGAATAACAAAGATTGAAGAAGAATTAGGGTATTGTTGAATAATACTGATTATATCAGACCATGTTGAAGCTGTCAAAGATTCTGTATTGCTTGGACCCACAATCAATGCTCATGGAAGCAGTAGTCAAGAAATCACAAGACAAGTTGCATTAGGCAAATCTGCCTCACAGGACTTCTTTAGAGTAGTGAAAAACAAGATGTTACTTTGAGGACTAAGGTTCGCCTAACCCAATCTATGCATGTGAAACCTGGACATTGAATAAGGAAGACCAGAGATGAATCAATGCATTTGAATTGTGCTGGAGAAGAATAATGAAAGTACCATGGACTGCTAAAAGTACAAACAAATCTGTCTTGGAAGAAGTACAGACAATGCTCCTTTGAGGAAAGGATGGTGAGACTTTGTCTTACATACTTTGGACATGTTGTCAGGAGATGGATTAACACAGTGACTACAACAGTGGTTGCAAGCATAGGAACAATTGTGAGGATGGGACAGGACTGGACAGTGTTTAGTTTTGTTGTGCCTAAGGTCACTATGGGTCAAAATTATAGCACCTAACAACAAGTTGAACTTCCCAAAGAACAAATCTGCCTTGGAATATATCCAGAATGTTTCTTAGAATGGGGATGATAAAACTTGTGTGTCATATACTTTGGATATGTTATCAGGAGGGTCCAACCAGCTTGATTAGGGAAAAAGAAGACCCTCAAGGGGTTTGATTGTCACAGTAATGGCAGCAGTGATTTTGTTTGCATAAGTTGCTGAGTTACAACTCATATAGAAAATACAGTAGCATCTGGGGT